ATATATGTATAATTTAAAATGATACAGTATTCAAAAATTCCTTCAAATTGAGAAGATGCTTTTATGCTGAAAAAATTAAAACATTAATTAGATGTAATAAATCTAATTGTTATAAAATTGAAGAATTATTTTCAAATGTTGATTTAAAAACAAAAAAGAAATTATAACATAATAAGTAAAGGGTCGAAGATTTGTTGAATCGATAAAAATTTCGAAAAAATTTAAAAAGCCCCGCCTTAAGTATTACTGTTTTGGCATATAAAAATTAGCTGCATTTTTTACAATCACTTCTTTTTGCAACTTCAACAGAACATCTGAAACAAATGCGTTCGATTTGGATCACTGCAATTATTATACTATTATTGTTCATTACTGTAGGAAGATCTGATGTAAGTCAACAAGTTAATAACTATAAATTATTTAATTAGCAAGATTTTTGATATTTCACTCTATTAGATCTACAAATTTATTAGGGTTTTACGTTATTCACTCCGTTAAAATTTTAAACAGATCCGAATGATTTTATCACAGCTATTAGCTTTATAAATTACTAAATTATAAATTACTAGTAAATCTATTTTAAATCATTGAAGTAATTCCGGTAGGAATTTATTTGATTATTTAGCGTTGGCATATTTTTATAGGCAACATTGAAAAATCAAACAGGTGAAGGTCGCCGTTATTACTGGAATCAACTGTACGAGATGCCACAATGGCAAACACAACAAGGCTGGGTACCACAACAAAACTTGATGCAACCACAAAGTGTAGGATGGGCACCACAACAAGGTGGAGGATGGGCATTACCACCAGGTGGAATGCCAATCCCAGGATGGGTACCATCATCAATGCAACCAACTCGGCCACCATTTTTATGGACTCTTTTTGACGACAGTAAGTCTAGATTTCTAACCCAGCCAGATTTAAATCAATCATTCATTCAGCTGATCATTTATAATTGTAACAATGCAAATTGAAGAAAAGGTTAAAGCCTCCCAAACAGTTTTTCTTTTTAGTTGCAACGAAAAATTTAGGAAATGTTTGTACATTGGACGCGTCAATATTAGTTGTTTTGGAAAATGATGAATCAACTGCGTCGGCAGGTTTAAATGTCAATGCACAACCGCCACCTTCGTATTACGGTGGTGATTTATCCTCAAATGCAGTAAGGATGTCATGTGCAAATATAGCGACCACATCCACGCAAGCATGCACATCTTGCTGTAAAATGTCTTGCAAGCATTACGCCATAAGCACAGCAAGTTTTCAGCTATTTTTTACTGCTAGTGAAATTGAGCATACAAATTTAGGAAGTAAATGAGATGGACGGTTGTACAGCTGGAAACTAAATCTAACATTTCAGGGAGATGTTCATGGATTTTTAATAAATTCAACACGACTCATTGCTGGTCAATTCCCAGATATCACGTTACCACAATTTCAACAAATGGTTAGCTTTTCCAAACGTATCATTAACTCGAGAAAAGAGACAAAAGTTCTCATGAGACACTATAATCTGCGAAATCCAGCTGGAACTTTCTAAGAATGTTTCAGAAACGAGGAGGATCGATACCACCATTAACCCTATCACCATTGCCACCAATATCCTGTGTGTGCTGTGGACCGCGACGTTTCTTCACCAGCTGGTCTCCTTCGGTACCTAATCCACCGTCACAATCAATTTGATAAAAGGCACTGAATGATTTGAACATATTTAAATGATAAGTGCCATTTTCTATTCCATGTACTTGATTTTAACACTATCTATGCCTTGTCATTCTCCTCAAACAAAAAACTTTGAATTATCATAAAGTTCACTTCTGATTGAAAATCACGATTAACTGCAAAATACGATCAATTCAATCAGAAAAACTAGCGAAGCTTCTCGGACATCATGACAAATTACTAGTAAATCTATTTTGAATCATTGAAGTAATTCCGGTAGGAATTTATTCATAATGAAAATTTAAGCCATTTCTTAAACAGGATTAAATAAGGTTACTACCGACTTTGAGCATATATTTTGTCTCCGGCATATGCAGTGTTGATAAAGTATACTTTTTATGCAACCTTTGAACTTTCTTGGTTCATATTCAATTTGTTATTTTCCTAGAAATTTCCGACATTCTTGACTATATATACGGTAAAAAAGGAGCAAAAAAAGACTGGGCAAACAAATTCTTAAAATTGATATATATTCTAAAATAGCAGATTAAAAAAGCATGAAAAAAATTAAAGATAATTTGTGTGAGAGACAACTTCTTGTATGTTATTTTATACAGAATTTGGGGCAATAATCAAATCTATCAGGTTTTTACATCAGCTAACGTTGTTACAACACATTGTATTTCACCGCCACCGAGACATTCGCTATCGTTATAAAAAGCACAAATCTGAAATTATCAATTTGTTTAACAACAAAACAACTCTATAAATTATTTTTTTCATTATCAAAAAAATTAGAAATAATACCTGGCCCGGTGCAGCAGCTCGAATTGGATTATATGGTTTAACTTTCAGAAGTCCCTTTTCCAGTCGATTAAGTTCACAAAGAAGTGCTGGGTGTGTTCTTTGGCAACGAAATTCCGCTCTTGCAGTGCCTGGACAAATTTCAATATTATCATAATTATCAGAAGTCAATAAATGAGGCACTATAAAATACGGAAGAAAGTGAGAGATGAACCTGCATCACTTATAGGACATTCAGATATCCAAAGGGGTTCTTCAACAACAAATTCGCGAGCAAATAGTGCTGGATGATGAGATCCTTGACACTAAAATATTTGAAATTTTTAAAACGATTCAATAATATTCAGCTCACAAGAACGAAACTACATACTTTATTTCACCGTAAGAAAATGTCATTAAAAAAACTTCCCGTCAGAAAACTTTTCGAGCATCAAACTTTCCCATTAAAATTAAAGAACTGTCCCAATCTTCACATATTCTGTAACTAAATTGGAAAAAGACGAACCACCCAGAGAGTTTGAGTTTTATCGTCAAGGCCAGCAACAAATAAACCGACAGCACTCTGACAATGGTCAGGTACCATTGTAACTCGTTTACCAATTGTATAGTGATGTACACCTTTGTGTTCAAAAACAACTTTGCCAGTATCGATGTCCTTCGCTGGACCAATTACAGGTTCGATATACTGCAAAATTAATACGTGGAAACAGCATAAGATCTTGCAAAAGGTCTACTTTTGTCAAATTATTAATTATAAAAAAACCTGATGCCTTACTTGACTAATAAAGGCGTCGAAACGTTTTTTTTTTCCAATGAAGCATAGCCCCATGCTCTAAAAAATTTATTTCAATTACAGAGCAGCCATTTTCATTTAACACTGTTAGGGTAAATCCAATCCTGTACTTCCACCTTATCATCACAAATTTAGTGATAAAAAAAGAAAAAATAAAGACAAAAGAAAACTCATCTCGGGCTTTTGAGCAATTTCAGCCATCCCAATATCAACCGCAATTTGGCGTACTTGTTGTTTTGTCAACGAACCTAATGGAAACATTGATCTCCTCAGCTGCGCTTGAGTTAAAGTTGACAGGAAAAATGTTTGGTCCTTGATCGGATCCGCAGCAACAAGCAACCGAATCACTAAGTAATCACTTGGAATAAAATGACACAATAACAAAATATTTTGAATATGCAAAAATAAAGGAGTCCGGCAGTTACAATTACAATTCTATCCATTTAACACCCAAAATGAGAGCCATAAAGTCTTAATTTCTACTTTCCCGAACATTAAAACTTAAACCACAGCAGCGTCTAATTCTTTAGTTTTTTTCACTTTCCTATATAGATCATACCAAATTTGCACTTACATCCAGTTTCTAAACGCTTCTCCAAAAAATCACCGAAACTTGTCCTTGCAAAATGACCTGTTGCAACAGCGTCAGCTTGAAGCTCATCAAATGCATATTTATGAAATCGATCGAATTTTATTACTTTATTGCAAAGAACATCAGATACAACCGTTCTTCCTTTACGATAATTATCCAGCAAATATCTGAACGAAATAATAATCCTAACTTCGCTTATTTCGCCTCAAAATAAATGTTAAAAAGTCACTGAAAAAAAAAAAAAAACAAAAAACAGAGGATGAATCTAATTAAATTCATTTTACACTTTTAAAAACTAGAATAACCTGTTTCAGCCAAGTTTAAACTCACGTAAAAACCTCGTTCCAATATTTATCTACAAAATTGATCACATAATAAGGTATTTGTAAATGGTTGCACACTTTTTCTGCATCTTTTTCGTCCACAGATTGCGGACAATTGCTTGAACCTTCTTCAACACGATCCCAATTTACCTTAAAAAAAATGCTTAACAAATAACTAAAGGAGTATATCGCTCTAAGCTACTGAAACATACTTTTTAAGTCCTAATTATGATAATTGACTGTACAGCGTGAACCATACCATATGGACGCCAATTACATCAAATCCCCGCTTTCTCAACAAATATGCGGAAACTGCACTGTCAACACCGCCGGAAATTGCACATACCACTTTCCGGATTTGTTTCATTGTTACCAAATTTATGTTAAACGTTCATTTGAAGCAAGTAATCTGAAGAAATTGAAGAACAGTGATACGAATACCAATTACATAATAGAATAAAAGTAAGGGAAGTTGACAGGTCATTCACCGTTGACCACAGGCAACCAAGCTAGCTGATAATCTAGGATGAAGCAGAATGGTTTTGATGACTTTATAAAACCTCTTTTAAGATAATGACATACAGATCATTAGCCAAAAGATATGTGACATGAATGTCGGACAGTATTACTGGTAATCAACAACTTTTAATTATGAATTACGAACTACTTTCCTTAGCCATCCTGAACAACGCTACCTTTCTACACTTTAATGATTCATTCACATACATTCCGTAATATTAAAAATATATATATATATGACGTAGAACGGCAATAAGTGAACGTGCCTGAGGTGACTTCACCTTGAAGCAAGGAACAAATTTTACATTAAGTTTTTTATTCAGCATAATAACAGCTTATTCGAAAATCAATTAATAAGTACATATATTTAAAATAAAACACTATTCATTACTTACACAATACTTGACTACTAATCATTAAGCTTGCTCCAAGCGTCGTTTTTCTATATCGTCCTTGATTGCTTCATCCGGCTCTTTGTCTTCGTCGATAAGACCAAGCTGCATTAATCATATAGGAAAATTCTTTAATCATGGAAGAGTTTTTAAACGTCATTTTCGAATGCATATACCATGTAGTGAGAAAGTAATGCAGCCCTTACCTTTTTTAGCTCTTGTGAAAGTCGCATATCTTCCTGTGCTTTTATTTCCTTCATTTTTTCTAACCTTTCCAGTCTTTCTTTTTCATTTTCACCCTATAAAGAATGGATATCACACTAAGGTAAATAATTAAAAGAAGTAAGGTAAATATCAAGGAAAAGATTTACTGAATCAAAAATAGAATGCAACTCACCAAATTTTCTTGTAAAGGAACATGTAATTCAGCCTCCAACTCCTGCTCCCGCTTTCTTTTCAAACTTTCAAAAGATGGCATTTCCGGTTCTTTGTGAAAACCTAACATTAGATCACGAAGTTCATCAATATCTTTCCTGCTTACAACCTAAAAGTAGAAAATTAAGGACCCTGAAAATTTTTACGCCACGAAACAAAATTCTCCTTCAAATCGGTTGAGAGATCGAAATTGCTTTAGAAACGGTTGTAATGCAATTTAACAGCAATAGCTCCTCACTTCACAAACATTCAACTCATAATACAATTTGTTACATCATATGGAAAATTCATTTCCGCATAATACGTTAACCACTTTACTATCAGCAATGAAAATTATTGTGGAGAACTTGATAATTTAATTACTTACACTTATATCGACCACTGCAATGACAATCTAACTGCAGTAAATAAAAGTGCTAATGCAATTTAAAAGAATAAAACTGCAAAAAAATCATACATATTGTTGCTCCTTCCGCTCGAAAGGTCTAAAATATTGCCAAATCGTGTTAAAAGCTTCGCTGTCAATCCTCTGCATAGCCTATAAATTACATAAATTGACAATGGAGCTATATATAAAATTAAGTACTAGTCGACCTGAAAATATAAAACAACTGTAAAGAGAAACAATGCAATACCGGATGATTTTCCAAACTTTCTAGGATCTGAGGCAGTAAGGTATCTCTACGTTCTTCATTTAATTTTAATACAAAATCTTTGTCACATTGTGCTCGCAAAATCTGAAAAAGTGATGTGAATTAATCCCAAAATATAAGGAGAAAAATTACAGATAGGAGCAAATATGAGAAAAGTAATCCTTTTCAACTTTTATGTGATGAAATAATAAGTATTATATGGCTATAACCAAAACGAACAAAGGACTTACGACTTCTCTATTCATTCTTGATATTCTTTTCCATTTATCAAAAAATTCACTGATTTACTTGCCTCAATAGCTTCGCGAAACATTAATTTTCCTTTTGGTATTTTTTCCAATGGAGGCTCATGGAATCCGAATTCCCATATTGTATCGTTTCTATGAACCCACTCCGTGTCTTTTGATTGTAATTCTCTGCAGAAAGATAAATGAGATAACAAAGAATGTAAAAGTGTAGATACGTTTCATTTTTGTTTAACAATATCTCCGCAATATTTTTACTCAAAAAAACAGTACTTGGTAGGCGTCCAACGATTTTGTGGTTCAGAAGAAGTTACTGTGATTTTATTCATGTTGTCTATTAAAACATCGTTTCGCTTCCTTATTTCCTGAAAGGAAAAAAATCATAGTATAAAGTAATGGAATATAAGAGTATAAAACCAAAACTCACCAAAATCGCTTTTTAATAATTTTTACTGCTAGTACTAACAGAAAAATCGTCCGAAAATGATATGAAATTTCTTTTACAAAGTCTTCATTTTTAGACAAAACCTTTCAATTTGTGATAAAAATTTATACTTCTGTAATTTTCTCGTCGGCTTGAACTTTTTGAAAATATTTCTGTTCTGTTGGATGTCGCGGTGCTCGATGGACAGTCTACAAATTAAGCATTCTTTCGAATTACATAGATATGCTAAAGCAAACAAACCAGATTTTTAATGCCAATGCAACATTTTCCATTCTCAAAAAACCTCTCTATAATCCCAGTAAAATACATTTACCACCACAGACGAAAAAACTATCAAAATTCGACGTTGGAGAAACTGCCATATGTAAAAAATCACCACAGGTAAGAAGAAGTTATCACATGAGCGAAAGAGAAAAAAGCAATGCATAAACTATTCACACAAACAAAATTCAGTCACTTTAGACTTAAGTTAATGGTGCTTTCAAAATAATTTGAACAAAATGATTCACGAATGATTGAAACGACACACAAACATGACCTATAAAATTATCTAAGTACTTTAATAACGTTATTAGTCTATACAACGAAAAGGAACCTCGCTTTTCTCCATGTCTTCAGCATATTTTATTGCCTTTTGTTGATACTTGCGATTTTTTACCGTACGTAAAACTGACTTCCAAATTTTCTTCATCACATAAAACAATACCACCGTATTCACCAAATCAAGGACATGAAACAGAAGCCGACAAATCAACAAATCAGAAATACAATAAATATCGACTTATTACTCAGTTTCGAAGTGAGTAATGTCTTGCCAACAGAAACTGCCACAGTTTCTCGGAATCCATTTAAGCGAAAATAACTATTCCAAAAACAAACCACTCAAAGTTTACAAAAACCATACGCTCTAACATAAAAACCAATCCTTTTTTTTTCTCGGAGTAATTCAGAGTAATCATTACTGGTTCACTATACTTGATCTAAGACTAAAGCCTCAAAGGCTCTGTAGCCTTAAATAATGAATCCCACTTCCATAATTTAAAGTGTTTGGAGATTAAGCGAAAGTACGGAATATAATTATAAGAAGACAAAATATGATGAAATACTATACATTTGAAGGATTCAAAAGTGCATAGGATGATAAGAAGCGTTGTAATAGAAGAGATAATAGAGATGAATAAGAAACATGAGCAATAATTATATGATGGATTGAAAAAGTGGATAGAAAGCGGCGGTGATTAGCTTTGTCAGTGACGCAAATTATGTCCCCGTTTGTGCGTGGTGGGGTAAATTTTCATGTACACTTTCGAAATTCCGAATTTTACAAATCATTCTAAATTAACAATACAACACCCGAAAAATTGCTGCCTCAACCGAACCTGAAATCAGAAATCTAATATCCCTATCTGTTTTTTCTTCTCATCGACAAAATAGAACTTGATATGTAGAGATCCGACTAATAGGCGAGACGGCGGCGGGCGGAGTTTAGTTTGCGAAGATTTTTATCGATCTCGGCCCACAGCCATCGTTCTGGCGGTCCGTGGCCCTGTCGCTTGTCTGCATTTTGCACGTAAATAGTTCTCTACTTGGGAGCGCGAGATGGTATAGCACTTGGTATGTGGGTTGCGTGGGTTGGTTGTTTAAATTTATCATTTTACCGTTTAAAGTTTCGTCATTCGTATCGTTGAAGAACATTTTCGAGAAATTTGAACTCGCACTACCGCTTCGGAAAATATTTTCTTGCACTACTGTAACAGGGAAGAGTAATGCCGGGAGTAAGTAAGAATTTGCGTCCGACTTTACGACGACGTTCAGCTACTGTTGCATTGGAAGAGCCATCGGAAGATGTTGACGTGGGAGGTGGAATAGGTGACAACGGAGTTCATGAGCTGGTTGATGTTGAAGGTGACACAACGCCCAACTTTCCTCAGGAATCGACACCAACAACGAGTAGAATTAAACTATGCAAGCGGTAAGTCTTATCTATTAATTAATCCATTTGTTATGTTTTGCTCTTTTTTTTCTCTTATTCATTGCGAAAATATTCGGATTTAGAGAGATTGATGAAGATGAGGATGAAAATCAGCCGGTAATGAAAATTCGTCGTATTACAACCCCGGCGTATGCTATTCGGCGAATTGATCGCCGTATTTGGCCGAGCGAGGTAGCTCGGAAAAATTGTAATTATGGGAAGTCGACGTCATATAGCGTGAGAAAGGAGCAAGAATTGGCACCCAATCCAAACAATCCTCATTTCTGTTTTACGGGTCACCAGCGACTATATCCATACCGATTTTATCTCGACCTTATCCGTAAGTTGGGTTAATTAGTTTTATTCTTCGGACTTTGAATTCGTGAAGGATAAAAGTGTATGATTGATTTTGTGCTTTATTCTTCAAAGTAACCGAAAATTAAAAAAATGTCGATAGAAAATAAAACTACACTTATTTGCAATTATATACTGTCTTTAGGAAGAGCGAAAAGAGACCCATCAATCATCAGTTTGGATATGCCAAAGCTAAGACCTGTTGGGGGAACTATAATAATCTACGACTGTCACGGGTTAGAATTTTGCTCAACATTTGAGACATTACACTTGATGAATTTCTTTCGGAATGGTGTTGGATTATGCTTGGTTTACTTAAAACATCTGGTTTTTAAGAGAATCAATTTTCAGAATTGACCAAAATCGCGCCCTTCATAATGATGGCTATCGCTGGGGTCGCTCCAAAGGTGTGAAACTGATTCAGAGTGTTGGTAATAGACTTGTGCGCACATATCATTTTCTGTATGATCCTAATAATCCAGCTGGAGATCCGAGTTTCAAGTATGCTCATTCACTCTAGAACTTATTTATTTATTCATCCATTTCTTTATTCGCCATTATTTCATTTATTTCTCTTTTTTTTATTCTCCTTGCTTATTTGTTTGTTCATTTCTTCATTCATGTCAGCTTATTTATTGTTAATTTAAGATATGTTGACCATGGAAATTTTGATGGAGTACTTACATTCAATTGTTTGTGCTGCAGAACTGTAAGCACTATGAAGTTCTGAAAATTAAAAAAAAATATCATCTTTAGAAAGTACCGTTTTTCTTTGAAAGGCGAAAATTATGGCATAATGGTCATGCATTATATTGGTGACGAAAAACATGCGGCGGAAGTTTCAGCTAGAGTAAGGATCTTTCTTGAACTTAAATATGCAATGAGAAATACAACAGACTTCCACGACTACTTTTTGGTTTCTACACATTCTTGCTGAATACATGGCAGTAAAGCAGCATTTTTCTGGTAAAAACATATGTTCATTCAGAATTATTCATGTGGAAGTTTGTCACAGATTTCTGAGATCAGTTTATTTGATTTGATCTGGATAGAATTCATTGTCGCATTTTTTATGCACTGTTAGCAATATATGTTTAGCTGAGGTTATTTAATCACTTTGACTTTTTTCAGTGCATGCGGAACAATGACCCAATGGCTATGTTAGCATACAGTGAAGCACAGCAAGGCGTTGAAGATTTGCATTCGTTGCACTTGTTACCGTTGCCTATGATGAATGAACACTCATCTGAAGAAGAGCGAAGCAAATTTCGTCAAACTTTGTTGTCCAACATTCAAGGCCTTCAACGGCAGCTACTGGTACATAATTTTTTTAGTTTTACAGTAAAGGTTACTAATATTATTATTCCTTCCAAATGTTTTGTGAATCAGATTTAACACCTACTGTTTAATGACTAGTTTTATATCGTCTATATTGCAGTATGAAAATGAGGAAACTTTTGTGGAACGAATTGAGTGCGACGATTCTGGTGTAAGTGTGGTTTATTTATTTTGTTATCCGTTGGTGGAACAACTAATTGCTGTAGCAGGTTATTTGCAACAAGGTACTCCGTTCCGTACTGTTCAATTGCTCTACCACACTGAACCAGTTACTGTCGATTATCATCTTTCCACGCTTGCTTTTATGCATCCATTTTTTGAAGGTTAGGTTTGTGATATTTATCATAACTCATTTGTTTTGAAATATATGTACTTTTTTAATTTTGTGAAGAGCTGAATGGATTCTGTTGCAGGTGATCAAGTATTACCTATAGCTTTTATGGTCAGCTCGACTGCATCACCAGATCGTTGTGATGATCATGACAGTTTTTTGTCAACATTATACGACAGATTTAATGAACTTCTTAATGGGCGTTTTGTTATTATCACTGGCCAAAGCCTTTGTTTCACTCCGGATGCTTTTCCGGTTAATTTTTCTCTTGATTTTGCATAGTTCACATGCTGAATGTTTAGTAAGTTATTTCGGAATTTCTTTCCATCTACTTTTAGGTTCGTTTTATACCTACCAAAAAGGTTTAAAGTATTTTTTATATTTTGATCAACCGTAAGATTTCAGGTTGCCGAACACATCCGATGCTGGGATGATTTCAAAAGAATCAAACTCAGTTATATTGAAACTCTATTTGGAGGAGCTAATTTGAATGAATATGCCAGTGATATGAATATTTTGATGAGCTGCACCTACGAGAAGCTTTTCGATGAGGTAAGTATGTAAACAGTTAATTTTGCTTTAATTCTTCGGTAGAAGGCATTAGATTCGTATATTAAAATGAGTGAAAAGCTAAAGAATTGGATGGACCTTAATTTGATTTAAAAGTATGGTGCAGAAAATCTGCATGTATTATAGATGTGGGGAAAAATAAGTGCATGCAAACGTTATACAGAGCGACCGGATGTGTACAGTTATTTTGATAATGTTTGGAATGATTTCAAATTCACGAGTTCCATTTGGCATTTGAAGAACTGCGGTGTTCCAGATGCTGACAAGGGTATAACTTGGCGACCATGTAAAGGTTTAAGTAAGGTAGGTGGCATATTTCACTTACATTGATAAAGATCATAAAATTCTTTTTTACTTTTTCAGAAGATGTTTGAGTCTATTTTATGATTTTAATATTCAATTTTTTCCAGCTTGTTTCGCAGCTCTGTGATAGTAACGCCCTGCTTGATACTATTATTATTTCACTGTTTTTATTGTCAAATGCATATCGAAGGTTATTTATTGCTGGGTTACACCAATCAGGTGCATGGAGATTGAAGAAATGTTACAGGGAGCGTTTTCAACAGAGTCATTTGAAGGTGTTATCTTATTGAATAAGTTTCAAACTTTAATTTCAATATATAGATAGAAGGTTCGTTATTTGATTCCAACTGCGAGCAAATTATGTTGTTGCGGGTTCATTGTTTGTTTTTTTCCATATTTGCTGTTCATATCTTGCGTTAAGTTTCTTTTTCTTTTGTTCAGTTACCCAAATTGCCATATGCACCAGTCATGGAAAATATTGTGATGACCGCATTCAGCATGTGTCCAAATCGCCCTTTCAAACGGTTGTCACATGATGGAGTAAATGATAGTTCAACATTATCAACTTGTCTTGATAATGAATATCAAAATCACACTAGTTCTCTTGCTAACCAAATTGACTTGCCTTCTACAAGGTGAGGAGATTTAATTATTGTTAATGGATTGTTATATTATAGTTATCTCATAATATCAAGACAATGTTGTTTCAAATTTCTCCGAATATAACGTTACCGCAAGCAAATTTGAACATATTTCTGTAGGAACTAATTTTATTTGGTACTTTTAAGTAATTGTGGTTTTTTATAATTATCGTATTGCAGTT